AGAGGAATTAAAAGACTTATGACTTCGCTCTAGTTTCCACAGGAACACTTAAATGGCTTTAAATCCTGCCCTCAACAGGATTCAGTGTGTAATAATTCATCATGAATTAATCATTAAAAACCTATTTGTAAGCATAAAATTTCTGTCTCTTATCATCCTAAGCCCTTAATAAACACACTCTTAAAATTCGATCAGTTAATTAACTTGAATTTAAATAAAACAAAAAAAAAATCAATTAGTATTTTGGCAACAGGCACTATTTCCCTACAGAGCCTCAACAACAAAAGGTGAAGACAAGGGGGGGCATCGCTCTGGTGGCCGGTCACACCTGCATCTGAATCCACCAGGGAGCCCTGCGCACGTGAGAAAGCAGCTCTGTGAGTAGCTGGCAGCAGCCCCTCAGCTCAGTGAGGCCACTCTGTACAGGGATCCCTCAGACCAAAGAGAAACCACGTGATTCCCAAGCCATTCCCCACTCTTCTTAAACCCTGATTTCTCATTAAACCAGACAAAAGCATCATTGGACAAAGAGATGGTGGCATTGCACTCATGTGAAATCAGGACTTGGGGCTACTTTTTCTCCCGGCTCTCCCAACTGCCAAGCTCATCTCTACAGATGGCAGATCCAGCTGGCACTTCAGTTAGCAAACTTTTTTGGGTGAGATTGTGGACAAGCCCCCTTAAAGGATGAGGCAAGAAAAACCTCAATTCCAAGGAAAACAACTAGTCATGAAGCTCTGGTTTTTATTCCAAAGGAAGCAAACTGAACTTTCCCTCCAGGTGGTTTCCAGATCAGCCTTAGTTCAAGGCAAAGACCAGATCAACCCTAGCACTGGGAACAGTGCATTGGAACAAAGGGGGAAATGGTTTCTACCAACCTGGGTAGAGAGAAAGGGGGAATCTGGCTCCCTCTCGTGGTCACCATGTGTCACACACTCGTTGGCGGCCCCGCTTCATTGCCACCTGCCATCATCATGCACCAAGTCATCTCTGAGGTCACCAGCACATCTTTCAGTAGGTGCATAAATATACCGTGGTCATCCAAATAGTCAAATATATAGAGATAGAGTTAGAGGTAGAGATAGAGATAGAGACAAAAAATATATATGGAGAGAAAAAGAATCTATAGAGACAGTGAAAAGATCAGGGGTTGCAGGGGAGATACATGAGCAGAGCATAGCAGAGTTTTATGACAGTGAAATTATTCTGGATCATAGTAATGGATACGGGATCTCGTGCCTTTGGCAAAACCCATAGAATGTTCAGCACAAAAACTAAACCCTAATGTAATCTATGGACTTCAGTTAATAACTTATAAATATTGCTTCTCCAGTTGTAACAATGTTCCCCACTAATGCAAAGTAATAGAGGAAACTAAGAGGTGGAGCAGAGGGGATTTATGAGGATCTTCTGTACCATACACTCAATTTTTCTACAAACCTAAAATTGGGGTCTATTTTTTCTGATGTCTATTTTTTTAAAAAATCTTTATTTGACGCATAATATAAAAACTGATACAGAAAGCAAGTACTGCATGAAACCAGTTATAGGAGGTCCATAGAGGATCTATACACAGATCTACAGAAAGTAGATGGTGGGTGCCAGAGTTGGGGAAGGGGAAAATGAGGAGTTCATGTTTAATGGGGATGGGTTTCAGTTTGTGGGAAGATGCAGAGTTTGGGAGGTGGATGGTGTGGACGGTCAGTCAACAACATGAATGTGCTTAATGCCACTGAAATGTATGCTTTGAAATGGCCAAGATGGAGGGGCACCTAGATGGCTCATTGGGTTAAGACTTAATTTCAGCTCAGCTCATGATCTCAGGGTTATGAGGTCGAGTTCCACGTTGGGCTTTGTGTGGGGGGTGGAGCCTGCTTAAGATTCTCTTCCCCCTTCCTCTCCCTCTGCCCTTCTCCCCCCTCTAAAAAAATAAAATATAAGTAAATGGCTAAGATGGTAAATTTTATGTGATGTGCATTTTACCACAATTTTTTGAAAGATGCTTAGAGGGGGGAAAAGATCATACAATTCTTTGAAGACACTATGGGAAAAACCCTTTCTAGGGCAGCCCTGGTGGCGCAGCGGTTTAGCACCGCCTGCAGCCTGGGGTGTGATCCTGGAGACCCGGGATTGAGTCCCACATCGGGCTTCCTGCATGGAGCCTGCTTCTCCCTCCGCCTGTGTCTCTGCCTCTCTCTTCACTCTCTCTGAATGAATGAATAAATAAATCTTAAAAAAATCTTTCTATAAAGGTTTCTTTTTTAAGGTTTCATTTATTTACTTGAAACCAAGAGATAGAGATATTGAGAGAGACCACAAGCAGGGAGTAGAGGAGAAAGCAGGCTCCCCACTGAGCAGGGAGCCTGATGCTGGGCTCGATCCCACGACCCTGGGATCATGGCCTGAGTCAAAAGCAGCTACCCAACCGACTGAGCCACCCAGGTACCCCAGGAAAAGCCCTTTCTAAAGTTAGCATGGGAAAAACCTTTCCAACTGTGGATCTAGAGCTACAAGACTAAATATTGATAAACTCAACTATATGAAAATAAACTTTGGGGCTCCTGGGTGGCTCAGTTGGTTAAGCATCTGCCTTTGGCTCAGGTCCTGATCTCAAAGTCCTGGGATCAAGCCCCGCCTGGGGCTCCCTGCTCAGCGGGGAGCCTACTTCTCCTCCTTCTACTGCTCCCCCTGCTTGTGCTGTCAAATAAACAATTTTCTTTTTTTTTTTTTTAATAAACAGGGGCACTTGGGTGGCTCAATGGTTGAGCATCCGCCTTCAGCTCAGGGTGTGATCCCGGGACCCTAGGACCGAGTCCCACATCGGGCTCCCTGCATGGAGCCTGCTTATCCCTCTGCCTGTGTCTCTACCTCTCTCTCTGTGCCTCTCATGAATAATAAATAAAATCTTAAAAAAAAAAAAAAGGAGACCCCAGAGAGCTCCCGTGTCCCTTCCACCATGTGAGGGCACAGCAAGAAGTGTCTACAATTCAGGAGAGAGCCCTGGCTCTGCCGGGCCGGCACTCAGGTCTCAGACTTCCAGCTTCCAGAACTCTTTGAGAAACAAACACCCGTTTTATAAAGCACTGGGTCTGTGGTATTTTGTCGGGACACCCTGAATGACCCGAGACAGAACCTCGGCCCGGGCCATTCCACACTTTAGCTACACCCTGGCGTCCACAGCTTCTCCGCGGGAACTCCGGTAAGGACCCCAGGCCCCGGGAGCCACCCACCCACCCCGAGGTCAAGTGCAACTTCCTGTGTCCCCACGGCCTTGCTGCCACTTGCTGTTGGCACATCTCTGCCAGATTGTGGTGACTGTCATGTGGCCGACTGGGGTCCTTCTGGATGCTCGGCTGAGACCAAGGAAAGAGGCTTCTGGTCCCCACTTAACCAATTCCACTGCCTCATCTGGGGCCTCACCAGCAGCTAGCAAGCAGGGCCCTCAAGGGCCGGCCTCTCCTCAATCAACAGCCTCTCAAATGCTTGAAGATTACGAAGATGGGGCACCTGGGGGGCTCAGTTGGTTAAGCATCTGCCTTCAGCTCCGGTCATGATCTCAGGGTCCTGGGATCAAGTCCTGTATCGGGCTCCCTGCTCTTCAAGGAGTCTGCTTCTCCCTCTGCCCCTCTCCTGCTTGCTCTTTCTCTCAAATAAATAATAAATAAAATCTTTTTAAAAAACGAATACAAAGATCAATCACTGAACCAGCTTTTGAAAGAAACCTGGTTAATTAACATTTCTTACCATATCCTGTTCAGGGAGGTCATACCGTTGGGGTATTCACCAAACAGCTTCCTTGGACAGATTTTTTTGTTGTTGTTCCGCTGACCTTTACCTCCTGCCTTTGATGCTGTTAAAAAACAAGAGTAATACCTTTAACAAGCTCCAGTAAAAGTCTAGGAGAAAATGTAAACTCAGGGGCACGGGACAATGGGACCTAATTTCTTTTACTAATTTCAGTGTTGTTTTAATTTTATATAGGGGGCATATTGCCCTGGGGGAAGAGGAGAGTTCTATTCACAGGAGCCCAGAAGTGGAAACAACCCAGATGTGCAATATTTGAATAAGGAGTAAACCAGATGTGGTGGAGTCACACGGGGGACTGTTAGTCACCCATAAAAAGGAATGAAATCCTGTCACTTGCTACAACATGGATGATCGTCGAAAACACTAGGCGAATAAGAGATCAGACACCGAAGAGTCACGCAGTGTAGGATTCCATCTGTATGAAATATCCAGAGTCGGTAAATCCATAGAGATAAGCAGGCTGGGGACGGCCAAGGACCAGATGGCGGGGGGCATAGCAAGTGACTGCTTAGTGGGGGGTGCTCTATGTGGGGGAAGATAGAATGTTTTAGAAATAGAGGTGGTGGTCACACAATGCGAAGGTTCTGAGTACCACTGTATGGTACACCTTGAAGGGGTTAGTTTGATGCTATGTGGGTTTCACCTCAATGAAAGTTTTTTTTTAAGATTATTTATTTATTTATTCATGAGAATACACAGAGAGGAGAGAGAGAGAGGCAGAGACACAGGCAGAGGGAGAAGCAGGCTCCATGCAGGGAGCCTGATGTGGGACTCGATCCTGGGTCTACAGGATCACACCCTGAGCTGTAGGCGGCACTAAACCGCTGAGCCACCGGGGCTGCCCACCTCAATGAAACTTAAACAGTTGACAAACGTGGAGTCTTACCCCTGCCAACCACCCTCGCACTTTCCCCCTGAGCTTTCCCCTTGTTTTCCTTGAGTAACAAGGTCAGTGGCGTGAGAGAAAGGGGCGGGGGGTGGAAGGCCTGGGACCTCCCTGACAGCGCAGCGGCTCCAAGGATGTTGTTTCGGCAGGTCCTCCATGGCTGCGGGAGATGTGTGGTGTCGGGTCCGCGGAGCCTAGGGAGTTCTTGGCCACGTGCCTCGTCTGACCTCAGCTGACCTGGAAGGGCCATCCCCACAGGTTTGGTTCCTAATAACAAGTGGCTGTTCTTCATAACAGCTGCCAGGTGGGGAAAGGACACCGAGCCTTGCAGCTGCCCTCAGGGAAATCTTAAAGGGCAAGGCCAGGACTTCTCCTCGGGATGGCAGCCGGTTCTCCAGAAGCTCCATCTGGTAGGTCATGATGCATCAGTGACAGCTTACGTGAGATGCCAGTGTCTCACGAGCTCCATAAGGTACAGGAACAAAAGTATTGGGCGGGGCAGCCTGGGTGGCTCAGCAGTTTAGTGCCGCCTGCGGCCTAGGGCGCGATCCTGGAGACCCGGGATCTAGTCCCACATCGGGCTCCCTGCATGGAGCCTGCTTCTCCCTCTGCCTGTGTCTCTGCCTCTCTCCCTCTCTCTCTATGGATAAATAAATAAATCTTTAAAACACACACACACACACACACACACACACAAAAGTATTGGGCAGCATTTCGAGGCCCCTAGTGACCTCATTGATTCAGGCATTGAGCAAAAATCCTTAGATGAGAGGCACCTGGCTGGCTCAGTCCGTAGAGCATGCTCCCTCTTATCTCAGGGTTGTGAGTTTGAGCCCCACATTGGGTGTAGAGATGACTTAAATATATATGTTTTATATAAATATTTTTAAAAAATCCTTTGGGGCACCTGGGTGGCTTGATCAGTTAAGCATCCAATTCGATCTTGGCTCAGGTCTTCATGTCTGGGTCATGAGTTCGAGCCCCGCATTGGGCCCCAGGCATGGAGCCTACTTAATAAAGAAAAAAAAAAAAAGAGAGAGAGAGAGAGAGAAGCCTGGATGGCTCAGCAGTTAAGTGTCTGTTCTCTGTTCAGGGTGTGATCCTGGGGTCCTAGGATCAAGTCCTGCATCCGGCTTCCTGAAAGGAGCCTGCTTCTCCCTCTGTGTCTATGTCTGCCTCTCTCTCTGTTTCTCTGATTAATAAATAAATAAAATCTTAAAAAAAAATAGATGAAAGGCAGAAAGGAAATCTGACAGTGGGGGCCCAGCCTGGACAGCCAGTCCTGGCATGTGTCCCGATGGGATGCAGTAGTAAGCCAGAGCACCCACTTGAGCATGCTGGAAGCTCTGGGAGTGGTGGTTTGGTGACTTGGCTGTTTAATGGCATCACCTGGGGAGATTTCAAAAGTGTGGTTGCCTAGGCCCCTACCCTGGACAGTGATTTCACTGGCCTGGTTAGGTCATACTCCCCAGGTGGACCCACTGTGCATCCTGAGTTGAGAGCTGGTTTGCAGGAACTGTAGGGACAAAGGAACAGTTGAATGGCACAACCAGCTGACAGATCCATATGTGGGATACAGCTCACAATAGCTAAACCCATTTCTGCTACAGGCCAAAGTATGGGGGTGGGGAGACTTCTCTAGGTTAAAAGGAAGTTAAAACAACTAAATACAATGTGCGGACCTTGTTTGGTGCTAGATTCAAACAGATCCAAATTTAAGAAGACACGTTGAGACTGTCAGAGAAATAGGATCATGGACTGGCTTCAGATGATTCCAGAGAATTACTGTGGATTTTGTTCAGCATGACAAGCATGTTGTCACTGTATAAAAAATTCACACTGTAGTTATAGGGGTGAATTGATGTGATGTCTGGGATTTACATTAAAATACTCTAGCAGAAAAAAAAAATTAAAAAAAATACTCTAGCAGGGGACACCTGGGTGGCTCAGCGGTTGAGCGTCTGCCTTTGGCTCAGGGAGTGATCCCGGAGTCCCCGGATCAAGTCCCACCTTGGGCTCTTTGCATGAAGCCTGCTTCTCCCTCTGCCTGTGTCTCTCTGCCTCTGTGTGTGTGTGTATCTTATGAATAAATAAATAATCTTATAAACAAACAAACAAACTCTAGCAGGGTTTGTCTGGGTGGCTCAGTTGGGTAAGCATCGTAAGCATCTGCCTTTGGCTCAGGTCATGAGTCCATGGTCCTGGGATCAAGCCCCACATCAGGCTCCCTGCTTAGCACGGAGCCTGCTTCTCCCTCTCCTGCTCCCCCTGCTTATGCTCTTTCTCTCTTTCTCTGTGTCAAATAAATAAATAAAAATAAAAAATAAAGCACTCTACCAAAGAGAAAATTAAGAAAGGACTCCTTACCCAAAGGTGGCCAAATCTTAACCGTTGTGTTGGGTGATGAATATGTATAGAGGCTCAAACATACTTATGTGTTTGGAATTTTCCAGACAAAAGAGTTTTAGAGCTTTGTTAGCTGTTCTAAAACCTTGATGTCCTATTGGTGCTGCCTCTCCACTCAGGTGTCTCCCAAATCGGTACCTCTCATGTGACCAAATCTGGAGGACAGTGATTGGCTGAGAGTTTTTAAGAAGCCACATGCTTGGGGTGCCTAGGTGGCTCAGTGGGCTAAGTGTCTGCCTTCTGCTCAGGTCATGATCCCAGGGTCCTGGGCTCTCTGCTCAACAGCCAGCCTGCTTCTCCCTCTCTTTCTGCCCCTCCCCTCTGCTTGTCTGTGTGCACGTGCACACACACACACATGCACACTCTATCTCTCTCAAAAATAAATAAATCTTTAAAAAAAAAGAAAGATGGGATCCCTGGGTGGCACAGCGGTTTGGCGCTTGCCTTTGGCCCAGGGCGCGATCCTGGAGACCCGGGATCGAATCCCACGTCGGGCTCCCGGTGCCTGGAGCCTGCTTCTCCCTCTGCCTATGGCTCTGCCTCTCTCTCTCTCTCTCTCTCTCTCTCTGACTATCATAAATAAATAAAAATTAAAAAAAAATAAAAAATAAAAAAAAGAAAGATGCCTGTTCATGCCCTTCCACCCGTGGTCACTTTTAGAGCCCCTGGCGTCAGGGTAGAGCAAGTCTAGAAGAGCCCACCATGCACACTCAGGGGATTACAGCTGAGCTTGCTCCAAAGCCTGGACTAAAGTGAGTCATGAGGCCCCTGGAGCACAGAATTTGGGTAGATGCTGCACTTACTGGACTAGAGAGGGAGTCTTCCTTAAAGCCTATGCCATAGGCACCTCGCTTGCCATACCCTAATCCAGGTCCTACTGCGTTGGATGCCTTAGTACAATTCCCAGGAAACTAGGGAACTGGACAAGGTCCCAAGGCGAAGCGGGTGTCACTGCCCATCCCCTGCACCCCACGAAGTCTCAAGGAGAGGACCAGGCCTCTTGCTGACAAGGTGGGTGCAGGTTCGAGCGATGTGGTCCCTCCCTACAGCCCTGACTTCAGCTACTACCCACCTACCATCTCTAAGGAGCAGTGTGTGCTCTGAAAAAGGGATGCGTGCTGACTGCACTACCTTCGCCACCCACCGCCTCTCCAAACAAAAGCAAGGGGTGGCTGTGCCCTTCCCACTGGGGGAGGCCAGGAGCCGCTTCTGAGCCAAACCTCTGGTGCCCTCTGCCGGACGCCCTGATTACAACAACCTGCTCAGAGGACTTCAGCCAAGCCCTGGACTGGCTGGGAAAGCTGAAATAATTAAAGCCCATTAAGAATAAATTTTAAGAAAAAGGGAAAACTGGAAAATGTTCCTCCTGAATTCCAGTGTCTTTTGGCTCTGAGAGATAAGTTCCAGGCTCTGCCGCTCGTCTGTTTACTGAGCACTCCCCAGGGGCAGCCCTAGGCTGGGTGCTAGGTCCCCGCCACCTGGGCTATGGGCAAGGCTGGGGAGCAGCAGCCCCTGGGGTGACGGGGTCGGGGGTGGGGGCACGGATTCAGAGCTAGGATCTTACCCAGGCAGACACACACATTGTGGAATGCAAATGCATGCTGGGTACCAAGTGCTTTCTTGTGGTTTTGATATTTCTCACAATCCTGGACAGAATCGTTCCCATTTACAGATAAGGAACTTGAGGTCTGAAATCACTCCACCTGTCCTCGGTCAGTCACAAAGCCCGTAAGTGTGATTCAAATTCTATTTCTTTAAAAAGATTTTATTTATCTATTTGTTCATTTATTTTAAAGATTTTATTTATTCATGAGAGACACACAGAGAGAGGCAGAGACATAGGCAGAGGGAGAATCAGGATCCTCACAGGGAGCTGGATGCGGGACTTGATCCCTGGACCCCAGGATCAAGCCATGAGCAGAAGGCAAATGCTCAACTGCTGACCCACCCAGGCGTCCCTAAGATTTTATTTATTTACCAGAGAGTGAAAGCAATCACAGAGAAAGGCAGAGAAGCAGGCTCCCCGCTGAGCAGGGAGGGTCAGGGAGTGAGAGGCCTGTGTCTCTGCCTCTCTCTCTGTGTGTGTGTCTCATGAATAAATAAAATAAAATCTCTAAAAAAAAAAAAAAAAAAAATATATATATATATATATATATATATACACACACCATATCCTTGACTATAGTCACCGTGCTGTATCTTACATCCCCATGACCTACTTATTTTAGAACTCAAAGTTTGTACCTTTTGACCCCTTCACCCATTTTGCCCACCCTGCCCCCATTCTCTGGCAATTACCAGTCCTACTATGTATCCGTGAGCTCATTTTTTGGTTTGTTTTTTCTTTGCTTTTCTGGCTTTTTTTAGATTCCACATATAAGTGAGATCATTTGGCATTTGTCTTTGTTTCACATACTTCACCAAGCATAATGCCTTCAGGGGACCATCCGTGTTGTCACAAATGACAAGCCTGTCTTATTTTCTGTGGCTCAGTAATAAAATTTTCACATTTCACCACATTTTCTTTATCCATTCATCAACTGATGATCAACTGATGTTTCCATATCTTGGCTATTGTAAATAATGCTGCAGTGAACATGGGGGTGCAGATACCTTTTGTTTAATTCAGATAAATATCCAGGGGCAGATTTGCTGGATCATAAGGTAGTTCCTTATGATCTTTTTTTTTCTTTTTTTAAGGTTAATTTCAGAGAAAGACAAAGCATTGGGGGTGGGGGGACAGAGGGAGAGGGAGACAAGCAGATTGCCTGCTGAGCAGGGAGCATGGCTCAGGGCTCCCATCCTAGGACTCTGAGATCATGACCTGACCGAAATCAGCAGAGGCTCAACCCAACTGAGCTACCCAGATGCCACTAGATGATATGTTAGTCTATTTTTAATTTTTTGAGGAAACTCCATCCTATTTTCCCCAGTGGCTGCAGTACTTTACAGTCCCAACAGTGTGTGAGGGTTCCCTCTTCTCCATGTCCTGGCCAACATTTGTTATTTCTTGTCTTTTTGATACTAGCCATCCTCACAGGTGTGAGGTGATATCTCATTGTGGTTTTGATTTGCATTTCCTTGACTATGAGTGATGTGGAACATCTTTTCATGTGTCTGTTGGCCATCTAGATGTCTGGATGCCCATTATTTTTTTTTCTTTGAAAATTTTATTTATTCATGAGAGACAGAGAGAGAGGCAGAGACACAGGCAGAGGGAGAAGCAGGCTCCCTGCAAGGAGCCTGACGTGGGACTCGATCCCGGGTCTCCAGGATCGTGCCCTGGGCCAAAGGCAGGCGCCAAACCGCTGCGCCACCCAGGGATCCCTGGATGCCCATTTTTAAATCAGATTTTTTCCTGATTGAATTGTAGGAGTTCTTTATATATTTTGGATATGTGTATATCCATATATATAAAATATTATTTAGAAATGTTTTCTCCCGTTTGCTAGGTTGCCTTTTCATTTTGTTGGTTTCCTTTGCTGTGCAGCTTTTTAGTTTGCTGTCATTCCATTTATTTATTTTTGCTTTTGTTGCAGGTCCCCTTGATGCCAAATCCAAAAAATCATCACTAAGACCGATGTCGAGCTTACTGCTTGTTTCCCTCTGTGAGTTTTATGGTTTCAGATCTTAGGTTCTTTAATCTATTTTGAGTTACTTCATGCGTGTGGTGCACAATAGTGGCCCAGTTGCATTCTTTTGCGCGTGTTGTCCAGTTTTTCCAACGCTATTTATCGAAGACTTTCCCCTACCCCTAGTATGTTCTTGGCTCCTTTGTTGTAAATTAATTGCCCATATATGCATGGATTTATTTCTGGGCTCTTTATTCTGTTCCACTGAGCTGCATGTCTGTTTGATACTGATACCAACTACACTGTTCTCAGGAAGCCTGATGCCTCCAGCTTTGTTCTTGAGATTGCTTTGACTGTTTAAGGTCTTCTGTGGTTCTCTACAAATTTTAGGATTTTTTTTTTCTAGTTCTATGAAATGCCACTGGAATTTTGGTAGGGTTGTAGATTGGGGTAGTGTGGACATTTGAACAATATTCTCCCCATCCATGAGCCCTGAGTATCTTTACATTTATGTCTTTGGTTTTTTCATGGTTTTTTTTTTTTTTTTTTGTCTTTGTCTTGTAATTTTCAGCATACAGGTCTTTCATCTCCTTGGTTAAATTTATTCCTAGGTGGTGTTTTGATGTAATTATAAATGAGATTGTTTTCTGAATTTGTTAGTTATTAGCGTATATATATGCAACACTTTTGAGTATTTTTTATTCTTCAACTTTACTGAATTCACTTGGGTTTTTTTTCAAAGATGTTATTTATTTGAGGGTAGCCCTGGTGGCGCAGCGGTTTAGCACCGCCTGCAGCCCGGGGTGTGATCCTGGAGACCCGGGATCGAGTCCCACATCGGGCTTCCTGCATGGAGCCTGCTTCTCCCTCTGCCTGTGTCTCTGCCTCTCTCTCGCTCGCTCTGAATGAATAAATAAATAAATCTTAAAAAAAAAAGATGTTATTTATTTGAGAGAGAGAGAAGGAGAACAAACACAGGGTGGGGGCAGAGGGAAAGGGATCATGACCGGAGCTGAAGGCAGATGCTTAACTTACCGAGCCACCCAGGCGCCCCCGAATTCATTTGTTCTGTCAGTTTTTTTTTTTTTAAGATGTTATTCGTTCATTCATGAGATACAGAGAGAGGCAGAGAGACACAGGCAGAGGGAGAAGCAGGCTCCACGCAGGGAGCCTGACGCAGGACTTGATCCCAGGTCTCCAGGATCACTCCCTGGGCTGAAGGCAGGTGCTAAACCACTGAGCCACCCGGGCTGCCCTCTGTCAGGGTTTTTTTGATGGGGTCTTTAGCGTTTTCTATGTCATCTGCATATAGTAAGTTTTACTTCCTCCTTTCCAATTTGGATGGCTTTTCTCTTTCTTACCTAATTGTTCTGGCCCAGGTCAATCACAAAGCTGGTGTGAAAGCTGAGACTCAAACTCTATTTTTAAAAATTTTTTAAATTTTTATTTATTTATGATAGTCACACAGAGAGAGAGGCAGAGACACAGGCAGAGGGAGAAGCAGGCTCCATGCACCAGGAGCCCGATGTGGGATTCAATCCCGGGTCTCCAGGATCGGGCCCCGGGCCAAAGGCAGGCGCCAAACCACTGTGCCACCCAGGGATCCCCCAAACTCTATTTTTAAGTCCCACTTCTTCCCCAGACCCTAATGCCCTTATGAAGAGAAAGTTTGTCCACCTTGCTGTTTCTGGTACTGGGTGAAGCCTGGGGGATCTCTTCTGGGCTGACCAAAGGATGAGGAGCCAGTCCTGCACTGTTTCCCTCTCCCCAGCAGGACCAGACAAGCTTCTGCCCACAATGAACACAGGCATCATCCCATTTAACTCTCTCAGCATTTGCTGGGGCCCATACTGGACTGAGCACTAGAGGGTGTCAGGAGCTCAGCAGCAAACAAGACACCATCCTTTGGGAGCCTGTGTACACCCCAACACCCAGTCCTTGTTCCATCTACCAGTTCCAGTCCATGAGCTTTACAACTCAGAAGGCAAGAGGTACTAGAGAGGGAAGCAAAAATATGGTAAGACTCCACTGGGAAAAGCCAATCTTGCAACCAAAGACAAAGCCACATAGATTTTAGGCCTACACTAAGCCCCTAAATCCCTAGAACACTGGGAGCTATTTAGTTTGTTGCCAACAACTCCTCACAGCTGTAGGGGGACTGCACAGAACACACTCTGGCTGAATGTTAGAAGAGGCATTTAATAACCAACACAAGCAGTGAGCAAGTGCAGCTCTCTTTCAATACTTCTGATCACGGTGAAGAACAAGTCTCACTTTCATGCTGATGTGTCTTAAAGCTTTCCCTGAAGTTAGTTAATATCTGTCTTGAACAAAAACATCAGGATTTAGGCCCAGAGCCTTTGGCAGGTAACAGTATAGGACCATAGTTTAGTATCATTTGGTTTTTGTTCCCATTACATTTCATTTCTATATTCACTATTTCAGTATTCAAGTTTTATTTATGGCTAATGATAGCAGCATTTAATAATTCCTGGCAAGATGTTGTTAGGATCCAATACAGTACCCCAAGTTTGAGGATTAAAGCAAACCTCATTTGCTTGGGAGTTACCATTTGAATCATAGCTCTGCCACAGCCTTGGAAAAATCAGCTTTTTGAACATCACTTTTTCCATTGTAATGAAGATGTTGACTTACAAGATGCTCCCCTGTCCCAAAAATAAGGATATAAAAATCACCATGTGTCCAGCATACCCACAATGGAAAGCCTGAGTACCAAAACTGAATGACAAAATACATGAACTCAAATGTCACAGTAAAGATGGTTACTTCATCTCATGGGTTTTTTTTTTTTACTTTTCTTTTTAGTAATCTCTATACCCAATATGGAACTTGAACTCATGACCCCAAGATCAAGAGTCAGTCTTGCTCTTCCCACTGAGCCAGCCATGGGTCACCTAGGTTCACGGAGGTAATCTCATTCCTCTATCCATTTTTAAAGTAGGGTTATCACAACCTAAACACCAGCTCTGTAGACTAACCTATTCCATTCAATAGTATTCTGGGTTTCCAGGGTGACTGAAATAATAAACTGTGATTCCATAGTTAATTCCAGATTTAAAAAAAGCTTTATCCTTCCAAATCGGTTTGATATCACTGTCATATGTGGGGGGGAAAGGTTTTTGCAGAAAGATTCCCTGTGAAATCTATAGTCATACCACTGGCAATCTCCTACTTTGCTATAGTTTATTGTAAAACATTACCATTTGGGGTAAACTGGGTGAAGGATACATAGAATGTCTTTGGGTTATTTTTCCACTTTCTTCTGAAACTGCTTTTTAACTTTATTTTGAAATAATTAAAAATGCTACTCATGAAAATGAAAGAAGATAAACATTGCAATTCCAAATTTAAAGTGAAAATCTGGGGGCACCTGGATGGCTCAGTGGTTGAGTGTCTGCCTTTGGCTCAGGTGGTGATCTTGGGGTTCTGTAATCGAATCTTGCATCCGGTTCACCACAGGGAGCCTCTGCCTCTCTCTCTCATGAATAAACTTTTTAAAAAAAAATAAAAATAAAGTGAAAATCTGAATGGTATTAGGAGAGCTTTGGAGTCACCTGATAAATGTGGTACCTCGGTGGATGGACTGGGAAGCTCAGTAAAAAAGGCTTATATATATGTAAACGGCTCATTATTATTAACTCTGGCAGTGATAAACATTACCTGGTCTTGTCGCTTTGCTCTCCCCCAACTCCTTGACCCGAGGTTAGGCCTAGACCAAGCTAACTCTGAATCAGCTTCAGCTAACAAGGAACCAGATGAGCGGGAGAGAGGCCAGAAAGGTTGTGAAAACCCAGGTAAAGAACACTGTGCACATAATTTATTTAAGTCACTCTGGATCTGAGGCTAAAACACAGCGGATGCCATCCCGGTGGACGGTCAGCCAGCGCTCCGCGCCCTTCTGGATCCAGGCCTGGGTTTCATCTGGGGACCTCCGACCGCACCAGGGAGTCGGCCTGGCTCAGGGCGAGTTTGTCCTTCTTCTCCTTCTGCAACACCTGCTCTTCCCACAGCGCCTGGTCGACCTGATCGTCTGTGAGCACGACGGGCTTGTACTTCTCGTCGAAGAGGCGCTCGTTCGTCTCAGAATGCAGCTGATGGGGTCCGACGACGCGCAGATGGGCCGGCAGGTGCTGGAACTCCTCGTCGTTGATGTCGCAGTCGCGCATCCGGGCGGCCAGCACCCACCAGCGGCCCACGAAGCCCACGTCCAGGATCCGGTCCGGGAAGTCGGCCCAACGGGGCTGCAGGTAGCGGCAGCGAGCCTGGTAGAGGCTGGCCTGGGCGTCGACGGGCGCCTCGTACACGAGCGCGCAGAGGCCCAGGTTCACGTGGCGGAGGCGGCCGCGCCCCCGCAGCCAGAGCAGCCGCTGCACGTAGTCCTCGGAGGCGCGGTTGCGCGTGGCGGGGGCCAGCAGCAGGAGGATGCCCGACGCGTCGAGCAGCGCCTCCTCGAAGGCCGCCTCGCTGGGCGCCAGCGCGCAGCAGGCCGCCGCGCCCCCCAGCAGCCCCGCGTACACGGCCGCCCGCCAGGGCCGGGCCCGCGCCGCCGCCGCCGCGTCCCCGCAAGCCTCGGCGTAGTCTCGGAGCAGCACGCGGGCCCAGGAGCCTGAGGGGAGAAGCGGAACACCCGGGTGAGAGCAGGCCGCCGTGGCCACCCTCCCGCCGCCGCCCGCCGCTACTCACCCAGCCGCGCCCACACGCCCGGCTTCGCGGCCGCCGGGCCACCAGATTCTTCACGGTTTCGGGACCAAAATCTCTTCAGAGCGGCCGTCGCCATTCTCTTCCGGCTCAGAGTCCGTTTTCCGAAGAGAAACGCCTCGTGTGCGAAGTGAAAGGCCCGGGGGCCTCCTGCGCCAGCGTCGACGGTGCCGGAAGTGGCTTCCCATCGGAACAAGACGGAACTCGGACCGCTGCCGGATGTTGCTGTCGGGTCGGAGCGCGGCCGGCGGAGGCCGGGAGGCGGGCCGCGCAGGCGCAGAGAGCCTGGGCCACGCCGGCTGAGGGAGCCTCAGGTGAGGGGGGCGGGTGCACCTGTGGGGCGGGGGCGGCGAGTTCACCCTCCGCTGGGTGCCCTAGCGGCCTGGCTGGGCTCCGGGCTGAGGGATGGGCCTGGGGGGAGGGGCAGCGAGTGTGGTTGGGGGCGGGCGTCATTGGCCTCTGTCCCCAGAGCGGGATGCGGTGACGCCCCTGAGCGACCATGGCAGCGGCCGACGAGCTGGCCTTCCACGGTGAGTGGGCGGCGACCTGGCGCGAGCTCCTACTCCCTCCGCCGGCCGGACCCTCCCACCCGGGTGCCCGCGACAGCCGGCCTGAAGCCCCGACCCTGACTCGAACCCCGCTCCCAGCCTGAGCCTCGGTCCCAGACCTGACCCCATCCCGGAACCAGCCTTAAGTGGTGGGCCCTTGTGGGGCGGGGGGACACACCTTCCAAATCCCCAAACCTTAGGAAGCTGGGCCCTTAGATAGCCCCAGGTGGAGTGTTGCCCCCCAGCCGAGCAGTGGGCCAAACCAAATTGTCTTGACTCCCAAAACATGCCTTTGTCCCGTATTCCTTCTCCATAGAGTTCGAGGAAGCTTCTAGTCTGCTGGCGGAGACCCCAGATGCAGCCACCACGAGTGGCCGTGGTCAGCTGGCCCCACAGGGGCACGTGGCGGTGGAGGTGGACTCGGGTGGTATCTACGGATCTGAGGAGGCTGAGGAGAGCGACAAGACTGCGGTGAGTGCCGCGGGTCCTGCCTGCACCCAGCCCCGCCCCGCCCTCCGCCCAGGCTGGAAGGGCAGCCGCTGAAAGCCCATGCCATCCCTGCAGCTCCTGCAGGAGGAGAAGCAGCAGCCCGGATTCTGGACCTTTAGCTACTATCAGAGCTTCTTTGACGTGGACACATCCCAGGTCAGGCCCGGGAAGCTGGTGGTATGGGACCTGCGGTCACACGGGGGTCCAGCCACTGTTCCTGAGCCCTTCCTGGACACCAGAATGCTGGTGATGCCCAGGCGGTAGGACACGGGCCCCTACACGGGCTGGTGGACTGTGGTGCACATTGCGCTGTCAGGATTATGGTGTGACGGGCTCGTGGGAACACAGTTGCATATAGTCACGCAGTTTAGAGAAGGGCCTCCTGGAGGAGGTGAGGAATGTGCGGAGACGTGAAGGGAAGCACGTATGGCAGGTGCAGGGAACAGCAGATGCAGAGGGCCAAAGGTGAGAGAAGGCGTCACGAGCTACCTGTCACTTGATCTGGTTGGAGAGTGAGGTGGGGGACAGGCAGGCAGAAGCCAGACCACAAAGGCCTCGTATGCTGTGCTAGTTTGAGTTTCATCGTGAGGGTGCTGGGGTGCAGAACAAGGAACATAGTGGAGAGAGAGGTAGGCAGGAGGATGCCCAGGATTTGACTGTTCCCCACCTCACGGTCCAGGCATGTCACAACATGACAGGCTGTTCAGGGTAGCCAAGCTAAGAGAAGGGAGAAGCAAGGAGAAAGATGACCAACCTGGAAGAGTCCTTGAGAGCAGTAGCGCGCTAGGGTATTGAGGCTGGCCAGGGAAAGGGGCATCAAAAACTCAGGGAACATCCAGGCTTTTTCAGGCAAGGAGATGGGAGGTCAGCAGGGATGGAGCCCCTAAGGGCAGGAGCTTGGCCCTTTCCTCTTTTTTTGGTGGGGGGATGTGTGGGTTGGCCCTGTGCAGGCTCCCATTCTGGGCCCCACCTTGTCCCCAGGTCCTGGACCGAATCAGAGGCTCACTGCTGCCCCGGCCTGGCCACAACTTTGTACGGCACCATCTGCGGAATCGGCCAGACCTGTATGGTGAGTGGTGGTGTACGTTCAACTCGATAATTCATTCAGCACATGTGGACCGAGTGCCAGCCCATGGATTCCAGCTGAGAAGAAAGTAGGGGCACTCCCAGAGGGCAGGAAGCACGCATTCCATCTGGGGAGACAGATACATAGAGGCTGCTGAGGGCAATGGGGCTTAGAAAAAAAGCAAACAGTTTAGAGGATGGGAGTTGCCATTTTGCATGGTTGAGACAGGACATCTCTGAAGAGGATGCAAGAATGGGCCTTGTTAGGGATAAAGGTGAGGAGACATAGGGGAAGAACATTCCAGAAGGGGGCACAGGTCCAGTGGTGGGGCAGTATTGTCATTGGAGCAGTGAGCTGCATGAGGTCATAGAGGTGACAGGAGACTGTGCAGGTTTTGTTGGTCTCAGTGAAAAGGGGTCTTAGTTAAGGGCTCTGAGGCTTCCTCTGGCCATGGGGGGCAGGGAGGGGCAGGGGTAGATGCCAGGAGACCAGAGAGGCAGTGCCTGCTGCCATGGTACAGGTGTGGGATGATGGGCCCAGCCCCAGGTGGAGAGCAGTGGTTGGACTGTGAAAGAGATCTCATGGCGGAGCCGAGGGGACTTCCTGACACCCTGACACGCCCGAGGTCGGGTGGGAGGAGAGAGGCAAGGGTGGCTCCTGGATTTCCATCGGGACTGCTAGAAGGATGGGACTGTCATTTACCAACTGGAAAGGCTGGGCAGGCTGGAGTTGGAGAGACCTAGACGTGACGTGGAAATGCTGACTATAAAGCCAGTGGTTCACGGCACAGACCAAATTCGAGACATTTGGGAGTCATCAGCCTGGAGGTGACCTAAACCCCTGAGGCGGGACAAGATGGTGCAAGGGGTGAACACGGAGAGGATGGCTGAAGACCGGCCCTGGCTGGGTCCCCGTTATTGAAGGGGTTAGGGAGTCCCAAAGGTTGGGGGATAGCCAGGGATGTGACGTGCCAGAAGTAGGAGCATGAAGTCCTAAAAGCACATGGGTAGTGTTTCCAGAAGAAGGAAGCGATCAGCTACAGCAAAGGCGATAGAAAAGTCAGGAAAGCTGAGGGACTGAGGGCCAGCTCTGGGATCAGCCAGCCCAGGTCATCAGTGACGGGGGGTGGGGTGGGAGTGCAGGTAGCCCCGAGCCTAGAAAGCAGCTGGGGTCCCAGCACAGTTGAGATGGGACAAGTCTCCTGTTCGGGGAACCCTGGGCCCCTCCCCACAGCCTGCCCTGCCCACAGGCCCCTTCTGGATCTGTGCCACGCTGGCTTTCGTCTTGGCCATCACTGGCAATCTGACGCTGGTGCTGGCCCAGAGGAGGGACCCCTCGATCCACTACAGCCCCCAGTTCCACAAGGGTGAGTGAAGTGGGCTAGGCCTGGCACCTGCCGGGGCTGGGAGTGCGCAGAGCCCCAAGGGTGACTGCCTGCCTTGCCCCGCGCTCCACAGTGACTGTGGCTGGCGTCACCATCTACTGCTATGTTTGGCTGGTGCCCTTGGCGCTGTGGGGCTTCCTGCGGTGGCGGAAGGGTGTCCGGGAGCGCATGGGGCCTTACACCTTCCTGGAGACCGTGTGCATCTACGGCTACTCCCTCTTTGTCTTCATCCCCACCGTGGTAAGTGCGGCCCAGGGGTGGAGGGCACCAGGCATCATGGGGAAGGCCTGGTAGGCAGCTGCCCATGTCGCCCCCAGGTCCTGTGGCTTATTCCGGTCCCCTGGCTGCAGTGGCTCTTTGGGGTCATGGCCCTGGTGCTGTCAGCTGCCAGCTTGGTGTTTACCCTCTGGCCTGTTGTCCGAGAGGACACCAGATTGGTGGCTGCGGTGCTGCTCTCGACTGTCGTGCTGCTCCATGCCCTCCTGGCCGTGGGCTGTAAGGTACAGACGGTCGCGGTCGGGGCGGGGGGCGGGTGCTGACCCCCCACCAACACTGACTCCAGGGGCCTCGGTCCAGTTTTATTTCTTCCAGCCGCTGCCTCTGGAGTACCTGGCATCGCCGGCCCAGGCCACGTCTCTGCCTGCAAACCTCCTGCTGCCACCCACGTCGAGGCCTAAGGCCACTTAGGGCGGCCGAGCCTACAGGTAAGGGGCTGCTCCTGCCTTTCCTCCCTGTCTCGAGGAGTCCCAGGGCTGCTCCCAGGAGTCTCTCTCTTTCAGGTCCAACATGAGGGGACACCTATGCCTGCCCTGCTCCTTAGACGATGGCTGAAGGCTCCCCTGACACCTCAAGATCACTCTGCTACTTTCCAGACTTTTCTTACAAAGCAAACACTTTTATTTTCTATGCAAAGGTGATTCCGAGAATTTATATAAAGGCGGGAAAGGGGCAGCAGGAAGCTCCTGGTGTGGCATCGCCCCTGGGCTCCCTGCCCAGCCTTCTGCTTTCCCCGATGGGACAGCTGGGAGAGCAGAAGGGGCCACCCCGGCCTCAACTGTGCCTGCCCTTCCTGGGTGCCCGGTGAGCTGGTCCCAGGGCCTAGCCTGAGCTCCACCGCATCCGAGTTTGAAGGTGTTAGAAACGGGGGGAGCAGAAGTAGAAGAAAATTGCCTGTGCTGAAACATACATTTCCTTGTTTATTTGTTTTGTTTTGGGGGGGAGGGGGCGGAGGTCCCTGCAAGGCCCCTTCCCAGGCTGGGGAGGGACCAAAATGCCATCATAGTATTAGGGACTGGAGCGTCTACAAATATTGAGGGAAACACACAGGCCTAATGTGAGCTACAAGGAAAAAGGACGCCTTCCACGATCGATCCTTGAGGTTTCTCATGTCTGCCCCGAGCGGCTGACAGTGACCCTTCCCTCCAGGCCCAGGGCCCACGGGGCCACCTGTTCGAACTCTTGGCAGGGGTGGGGGAGGGGACCTGCAGGGGCTCAGGGACAGGACAGCAGCAAGAGGCAGGGGCCGAGGACGGAGGGCCTTCCTGACAGCCGGGGTGGGTTGTACATTCAAGTGTGAGGTGAACCCTTTGGTGGGCGGGGGCCTCGGGTCTCCAGAGGCCTGGCCCCACCCCTGTCCCGAAGACTCGGCAGGGCTGCCCCTCACCACTGAGCCTCTGAGTTGGGGAGAGGGGCTGCTGGCTCGGCCCGGCCGGCCTGGTTTCTCAGAGG